TGTTATTTGAAATAGATGCCACCAACTCAACATCAACCGAGAGACTGCAAGCAAGTGTTTACCATAATTTTAAGTAACTAATGGCAACAGAAGAGATGAAAAAGCTAACCATTGGCAAGTCAACTCAAGCCAAGGTTCACAATCTCTAACTTCCGAAAAAAATAACATATGTATAAGTTCTTCAAAAGGGGAAAAAAGAACGACTGTGCTAATAACCTTGCAATGAACGAACAATAACCACCATCTTATTAACAGAAACATTAATGCAAGTTTCAATACCTGCAAAAGACGATTCATTGGAACTGGTCTCTTCAGGTCCCATATTATTTCCGAAACAGCAGTTAGCTGACTAGAAGTGAGGGAATACGGAAGAGCCTTTAAAAATTCCTTTGCAAGACTAGACCATTCCTCCACATAAATAGCATTTACTTCGGGTCTTCTGTACTTATCGAGCAGTCCATCTTTCTCTATTTGTGTACCAAGCCCTTCGAGCATTTGGAATAGGCGTCCCAACTGCAAGAAGAGATGATGAGAATAATTTAGGTTATATGTAGATAGCTTGTGGCCAATTCCCCCTTTGGTGGAGGCATGGGTTAGACACACCGTTGCAGAATAGGCTACTATAAAATTATGTATACCAAAATAAATAAAAGTAGAGATGTTAAGAAATTAAAACTCGACAGCACTATTCAGACATGAAGTCAGGGAAAACTGTCAACTGAATTGTTACTTGAAGAATTAGTTGGAAACAACTGCCTAGGAACAGCTCCCTAAATATCCTAACTTCTTCATCTAAAACTAACAATTTACAATTCATAACCCGTGTTCCCTTGGATAGAAGAGTAATGTCATTGTGTTATTTCTGGTGCAAATGGTACTACAGGATGAATAAAGGACACGGCTCGTCACTCTACAATGTATTTTCTCTTTTTTCTTTTTCTAAAACACACCATGTAAAATTTTGGAATATAAGCATAATTCTTACTCAGTGTAGCCCTATTAAGATTCATTAGTTATGTGGTGACGAGAAATGCCAAATTAACCTTAAAATTGTACATAAAAACACAATTTACTATTAAACTTTTAACTTTCAGAAACAATATTCTTTTCAATTTCATCAGATGTAATAAGCCGCCAGCACCAGGCAATACAGTTCTTTTTTGACCAGTGCTGGAAGTGATTCGCAATATTCACTGACATTAACAAGCAGGCTCCACGTGCAGCCCTGCATCGCATTGTTGGTGTAAAACAACAGTGCTCACTTAACTAAAATATTTAAATATTATGATAGTGAGAATCTTACTCTATCTTACACAGCCAACCTGGCTCCCCTAGCTTATACAAATCACGAAAAAGTCAGGAACCTATCTCATTTATGAAGAAATAAAGGAAGAAGAAGAATTGCAGCAAAAACAGAAAATAAAATTGAAGAAGATAGGAGAAGAATTAGAATTTAAGAAGAAGAAAGAGTAAGAGGAAGAGAAAAGAGGAATTGCTGATTTCATACATTGGGATTTCCACTATTGTAATGCTTACTTCCTCAATTGATTCAAACCTCTATTTATTTCTGCCAAAAATTCAGCAACTACTTGCTAACAGTGTTAACAGAAAAACATAAAGGAAAATACACAGATATCTCATGAAATGAGGAAATAAGAAAATATAGGAAAACTAGAAACAAAGAAATCCTTGCTACAGCAGTTACCCAATATCAGAGCATACATCCACTTGCAGTAGTTTATCTTCTCTCACCTCCAAGTTTACCCATCTTCTGTACCATCAGACAAGGTCCAGACAATACTCTCCCCACGAAAGCATCCTTGTCCTCAAGGATGTCAGAGAAGTAAAAAAACACAATTATCGATACTAACTCAAAAAGAGAGAGAAGAGCATAGCAACAGCACATGAATAATCAAATTCGTAGGGATAAACTTCATATACACCCATATGTCAATTGCAATATACTTATTCCTCAACATACTTAGATCCAATTTAGTAAGAAACCGTATAATTTCTTGCAAAACGAGAAAAACCAGCCGACCACAGAAAACTAAAACCATAATACCCAAATTTGGGAATCCATTTAAAGCATCCCATTCTAGAAAAATATCTTCCAAGTATTGGTATTTATAAAGATTCAATGTTGAATGCAACAACCATATATTGGAAGAGGTCTACGACCCTTGTAAAAAATTCCAACTGATTCCAAGTACTGCCATCATCTTTTACCACTAGAGTTATCACTTCCACATAACTCCAAAACCATTCTTTTCTTGTAGACTTTTCACAAACAGTATATGTAAACTTTTCTTCCATGGAGATTAAGTAATTTTGGCTCTATTCCCAACTCCTATGTTATCTATCAACAATCTTAACAACCTTTTCTTCCCGATATTACTCTTTCTTCAAAACTCCGTTACTCCATAATTCTTCCAAATTTGCATATTTTCCATTAGCTCTCAATTCATAATATTTTCCAAAACAATGTGAACTCAAGTCTGCTAGCAGTGTCCTTGGTATAATCTTTAGTATGCTATCTTTGGAGGATACAATTTCATAATCCTTACTTTCTATCCAGTATTTCACCTGCATTATCTTTCTTACTTCTAACCGGTATTTCAACAACCTTCTTTTCTCAAACACTTGATATGCATTATCTTCCACATAATTTTTCTCTATCAGCCCCAGTAGGAAACAAAATCAACTATTTCACCTGTACAATGTTTTGGTTCCATTCTTGAAAAAAGCAAGCCAACTGCCCTATTTCGTGATTCTCTTCGCATGAAAACAACTGATCTGCTTCCGCCTCTTTCCTAAACAACTGTGAGCAGGAGGAAGTCGCACTTATTATCCTTTTTGGCAAAGCAGGTGAGGAGACGAAACCTCACAATATTTTTGGTCCTTGAAAAGAAGAGATCAGTTGCTCCCATTTATGGTTCTCTTCAAAAGAAGAGAGATTGGAACTCTCTGTGATGAATCTTTCCCAAGCAAACAAGGAAGCTGATTTAGACATGGGAAAAACTGAAGCTCGTTTACAACACCCTCCGGCAATGGCTCTCTTGTAGAGCTGCTTCCTGCTCTCATTGAAACTTCGCCCACCTATCATTTCGGAAGTTTGATTTTAAATTCATGATAGCACTTTTTTTATGTGTGTATGTGTGTTTTTTTATTTAAAAAAGAAAATTACTAGAGCAGGAAGAAAAGCAGAGGAAGGAGAAATGGGAGAAGCAGTAGAAGAAAGAAAAGAAGAGAGTAGAAAGAATGGCCGAGAATCAACCTCTAATATACCAAGATGCCAAGAAGCTGTCCTGATTTGGGAAGAAATAAATTAAGAAGAATTGCAGCAAAAACAGAAAAGAATTTTCGTTGAAGATGATAGTAGAATTAGAACTTAGGAAAAGGAAAGAGTAAGGAAGACGAAGAGAAAAGAGGAATTGCTGATTTCATTCACTGGGTTTTTCACTATTACAATGCTTACTTCCTCAATTGGTTCACACCCTTTTCTACTCAATTCCACCGAAAATTTGGCAACAACTTGGTAACAATGTTAAGAAAAGAACAGAAAGGAAAGACAGATTTTACATGATAGATTAGAAATAAAGGAATCCTTATTACAGCTGTTATACAATTTCGGCAGAAACATTGTTGTCTGGCAACATCTTTAGCATAAACATATCCACAGAATCTCTAACGAAAAACAGCATGCATGACCAAACTGCAATTTCAATAACTAACTCTTAGTTCACTGGACCAGGGGCTTTGCCCCAGTAGTCAACTCGCACTACCTGGTGTAGTGCATATGCTTCCTATGCCGAGTTTGAACCTTGGTGACTACAAACACATCTGATCCAGAATGAATTAGGTAATTATTTTCAAATTCTAGTCACTTAATTTTCCCTAATTTTTAGGAGCAATGGTCCCTAAAAATAACTACCCTAATTAAAAAAAGCATTTGAAAATTATTCTTAATTTTAGAGAGTTCCCTAAGAGATTATAGATTTCTCTTTTGACGATCCTAATCATAGGCTGCCAAGGCCACAGATCAAACAAGCCAACTTCAAGCTTGATTGGGGACTTCCATGTGAGTAAACCTGTTACCATATCCCAAGCTAAGGAATCTAACAAAAAATGCCATAGATGTGATGTTTGAGGCATTTTAAGTGTGATTGGTAGTTAATTTTCTATTCTATATCCCAATTCTTTGGTAACATATCTAGGAATCCCTAAATTTATCTCGAATTCTTAACTGGGCAAATTAATCCTAGTTTATCCAACACAACATGAAAACACAATCCAAGAATCCTGGCATGAGCTTGAAAGACATGTCACTCTTTCAAATTTTCAAAAGTCTTCTACTGTAAAAGGTTCTGACATCACTCCTTTGAGAGAGCTAATGAGAGCATCAACAGAAGATTGACGAGAAGTACAACCATGACCAGAGACACACTACAAAAGAATCTAAGTCCCACTAACACAAGCAATCATTAGCAGGATAAAAGAACAATCAGTTCTAACTTTAAATTATTAATCAAATTCCAAGCAAGGATTACCTGCAGGTAAAAGAACTCGTCAAATATAAGTCTTTTGCGAGCTAAATCAGCCTCTTCTATATTCTTTGGCTGGTGAATCCCAATATATGCCTAAATTTTACAGAAAAAACATTTAGTTCTTCACCAAAAATATGCAGACAATAGCAGAAATGTTTGAAAGAACACAGGAGCTGCTCTAAGAATATATAAATATAACTAACGCATTGTTAAATATAAGGTGGTATACTATGATGCAATCAAATATATATGCAGCACCAAAACAAGCATTAAACTGACCATGAAATCCCACAATTGGTAAGTCCTCTATCATCTGCTATACCAGCAGGTTGAGATCTTTATTGAAATTTTTGTTAATACAAAATGAATGTAAATTGACAAGGCACCAAGAGAGTGCCACACATATGTTCGGAAGCTTTTACAGGCAGGAAACTATATTTATACAAGAGTTTTTCAATTGGCTTGAATTTTTGGATAGCCAAGAAAGTGAAAAAGGATTTTAAAACACTCAAAGGCGAGACTGATTTGTTTACATAATGAATTTGATGGTTTCCTTTTGAAGGAGGAGATTAATAGGATATAAAAACACCTAGCTCAAATGGGCCAAGGCTTCCCAATCTCGTTGCAAAGTAGCCAAAGAGACATCCCCAAAGAACCCATGAGCCTTAGCCCACAAAGAAGCAAAGAAGGTCAGACTATCCAAAAGAAATGTTGTAGTAAATAATAATCCGTAAAATGTCTAGAATTATGCTGTAACCACAGGACTCTTAATGGAATGATCACTGAGGCTAGAGAGCTAGATTCTTAAGTTTTTGGTGGTCATGAGAGATGAAGCAGTTGAGGTGACTTATTTACTTTCTATTAATAATATTCTCTTGTTTTCTGGTCATCCATTGACTCCTTCCTAAATATTAATGCATCTTATTGAGTTTTTGAGTGTCTCAAGTCTTAAAGTTAACCTCCTAAGTTAGAGCTAGTCCCTCGAGGACGAATAGTGCATGGATCTTTCTACTAGTATTATAGGATGTAAAGCAGCCATTTTGCATTTAGAATATCTTGTTTGTCCCTTGGGAGTCAAACTTAAGAACGAATCTACTAGGAGCTTGTGATGTCTAGGTTTTGAGAGGAGACTAACTTGCTAGATACAAGGCCTTTATTTGAGGGCTGGGGAATAAGACTCACACTTAATAAGATAACTTCGTTGAATTTGTGTAAGGCTTGAATGTCTGTACGAGAGATTTCAATAATCACTCAGTGGCCTGGGATTCAACTAGCTAGTCATTCACCATGGGGAACCTTGTTGCATTGCTTGTTTGTTTCAAGAAAAGTGCTTCTGAGTAAATGGTTCAAGAGATTTATGTCCTATTTGGTTTAACTAAGGTGGAGTATGATATTTACGCTTGGCAAGCTATTTCGTATGGTAAAAGAAAAAAAGTGCCTCCCTCAAACCCCCAGTTATTTGGTGAGTTATGTGGAAATAAATGAAAATGAGGGCTTTTTGAGGCTATTTATTTCCCTTTTGACATAGTTAGAGATAATAGTTTAGCTTTTTTGTTCAATAATTATTTTCTTTTTCCCATAGGATTAAGAGGATCCTCACCTCATTGATATTTTAACTATTTAATTTTTTCATTGGTGCCTTGTTAATAGATTTCCTTTTTCCTTTAAGAAAATGATCAGCCTAGATCTTAGTTTAAAAGAAATGGAGATTAGACAAGGAGATATTTATTCGTTGTTAAGGCACTAATATTGATGTTTAAGTTTTCCACATCCCCACATGAGAAAACTAAACTGCCTCATTCTCATATTTGGGAAAATTTAATAGGCTAAACCTGACTTACAATTATTGCTAATTTAGAACTTTCAAAATCAATAACCAGAAATTGATGTCAGGTTTCACAATAGGATATCTAAGTAAAATAAGCAGCAAACTAAATTAGTACGTAACCATGTTTTCAAGAGTCAGAAAACCATGTTTTGATTTTCCCTCTAGGCAGATCTGGAAGGCGAAAGTTCCCCTAGAGTTGCCTTTTTTATAACGGAAGCATGTAGAGAATGCATCTTGACAATAGATAAATTTAAAACCAAGGGGTTGGTCATTCCAAACCGATGCTATTTGTGTATGACTAATGAGAAAAGCTGTGTGCATGTACTGTTGCGTTGTCCTGTGGCCTCTGGATTGTGGAATACTATTTTTAGTATGATTAGTGTTAATTGGGTGATGGCTGGATCTATTAGGGAGGAATTGTGGGCTTGGGATG